AATCAATTTTCTTAGAGGGAAGTAACCTATTTGGCCTAATCATTAGTTAAGTATCCTCCCAAGTCTTTTGTTATAATTGGAGAAAAAGTCAGTATCTGGCCAAGGGTGGAAAGCTTCTACCTGGAAAAGTGTTGTTGCTTTCCAAGAGTTTCTGATCCTCCTGAAGGAATTTGGAATCAGAGTGGAAACTTTTGAGAAAGTAACAAGATCAGTTAATCCTGCAGATCAAATGTAAATCATTTTAATGGGGCTCTTGAACTTTTATTTCTCTATATATTTGCACCCTGAAGACTTCCTTGTAAGATTTGTGTCTTCCAGACTATGGGCCATTCATCTACAGTTGGTAGCAAACAATGGGTACCAGCCCATGTCCACCCATCATCACCTAGATGCAGCCTTAGTCAATTTCCTCCCCAAGACCCCCTCGGGGCAAGGACAGCTCTACACCCCTTGCCAGCAGGAAGCAGTTTTAAAAGCTGAGAGCTTTGCCCCTAACCCCAAAAGATTTTGGGTCCCATTTGTTTGAGGGGAGAATAATGGCTGATGGGATTTGTGCTGGACCCCTAAAAGGAAAAGATCATGTCTTTGGGACCTAGACCCCAAAACCCCACAACCCAGATCTCTGACATTTGTCTGAGGCACCCAGCTCTTCTCAGTCAATAATCTGTTTAACTTCTTTCATTGTGGTCCTCAACCATCTGCACCTGGCCCCACCTCAGGCTATTCACCTTTCTTTAATTCCATCCAGATCTTCCCACAGTCTTTCTGTATAAAAGTGTCCATCTTGCCACAATTAAATTGCTCAGATTCTTAAAATCTGGCCCAGTTGTCAATACAAGTGTCACAAATGCATAGGTTCTTAAAATTTCACCCGCTTCTATTGGTGATACAATAAACCTTGTCTCTTGCTGGGAAAAAAAAAATAGTACACAAAGAAGATCCTCATTGGAGATTAGGTGAATTTTAAGGACAGGAGAGAACTTTAACCACTCTTGCAATTCATTTACCTACTTTAACTAAACACTCTTGCAATTCATTTATCTATCTCCAGGAAGCTAATGTATAAGAATACCACACTTTGCAGAATATATTGGTTCTTGAAAAAAAAAGTTTTGTGGGAAAAAATATTTTAAAATCAATATAATAATTTGCTTCTTAAGAATTCTATGGTTTTTTGTTTTAAAAAAGGAAGAACTTTTTGCCTCTCTTTCTCTAACTTATCTTTTATCAAAACCCAGAATTTCACATAATATATCTACTAAATTTAGAAAAGGAAACAGAGAAGAGCCACACAAAACAAAAGGGCATGTAGAGGTGGTAATCTGCAGTGCTACACAGAGTGCCCATAATGATAAGGTCACAAATCCACTGAAGTAAGGATTTTAAAGTACTTAAGATCTCCAAATCTTTCAAACATATAGCCTCAATGTTTCTTAAGTGTTTCCCCTTATTTCTCCTAGACTAAGAATTCTGTGGACTGCAGACCTCATTAAAGTAAAAAATGTCTTTAACTTCTTCCCACACACCAAAATTTAGCTGAAAACCATTTTTTTAAAAATTACCTATGGAAAAATTCTATCAGTGACCATTTTGTTTCAAGACAGTAGATAAAGCTACCAGTTAAACAATAAATATCTTGACACACTTCAGTAGTATTCATCATCAACAGAGCTATAACTGGGAATTCTGGCACCTAGAAAAATTTCAGCTGGAGGTGCGTCAACAGACCTACTAAGACTCTCCAAAACTGACATGTGCGGTTGCCATTGATTCTGGCCATAACCACTGCCAAGAGGAAACTACCTGGAGGGAAGAAGAAAAACCTCAAACACTCAATAGATGCAAGTTTGCTATCTGTAAAAGTCAGCCAGCTTCTTTGAAAATTATCATGAGTCAGACATGGAATTCTAAGAGATAGCAAATGCTACCTCTGTTTAGTCAATTAGATGCTCCTCAAGAGGAACATGTTTTAGGGGGCAGCTAGATGGCACAGTGGATAGAGCACTGGCCCTGAAGTCAGGAGGACCTGAGTTCAAATCCAGCCTCAGACCAAACACTTAACACTCACTAGCTGTATGACCCTGGGCAAGTCACTTAACCCCAATTGCCCAAAAAAAAGAGGAACATGTTTTTATTTTGAGAGGGACAGAAAGGGAAAAGTGAAGTGACTCTTCGTGGTATCTAATACAGTACAATATTCGGCTGACATTGGGGCACTTGATGCACATTGGTCAAGAGCTATTGAATCTGCTTTATGATGGGTTTCAAGCTGATTCTGAGGGGGAAAAAATGTATACCAGAAATAAGATAACCAGTCAAGTGTTGTCCATTTCAAAGTAGTCTCCTTGAAAGGCTATTAATTCATTCTCATGATGGCTACCATTGCTCAAAATATTTAGAGACTCATAGATCTCAAGGCAGAAGGGACCTCAAAGGCCATCTAATCCAACCCTTTCACTTTACAGATAAGGAAACTGAGGTTAATTGGCTTGCCCAATGTCACACAGATTAAACCTCAGAGCTGGGACCAGAACCTAGATACTCTGATTCTAAAACCAGTACTCTTTCCATTCATAGTACTATCTCTCATTATTTTTGGACCTGTTCTTTTGAAGTTGTTTTCAGTACTTCTAACACCTTCCTTGAAAAATTCTCAAGGTTGATAAATCTTTGGTTTTTTTTAAGCATGGATTCGATTTTCTAAAACAGATGAAAGTGTTTCAAACAACAATAGCATCATTGAAATTAGTGTATATAGCTCCCATTGTCTGCTTTGAAAAAGCCATCACTTAGCTAGATGTATATGGTCCCAGACGGCAGAATTGTAGAAGTTATAGAGGCAAATATACACTTGATGTAAGGAAACTTCCTAATAGTACTTCTGATATCACCATTTAAAAATCAATCTTACTATTTTAAAACTACATATGATGTGTATATGTTATGCATATGTAATACAAGCCTATTAGGAGAAAGATTGTCACTTGTATAAATCAGGGATTGTGATTGGATGTAGGGCTGAATTATTCTCATGTTTCAGGTGATGAGAAAAACTGTCTTTACCTTGTAATATTTCTAACATTGGGGAGAAAGTGAAATATGGATGGGTTAGGTATGAACATAGGTGGAATGCCCTCAGATGTACCAAGCGATAAGAAAGACTTCTGGTAGGTTAAGAATGAACAAGCAAATGTGCTCGAAATCTCTGATTTTGTGATACTATAATCCTTGGGTCAATTCCAAGAAAGAACTAGGATCTTTGTGAGAGAATAGGAGGAACAGTAAGGGTATAAGCATGTATATGGTGCCTACTATATGCCAGGCCCTATGCTAAGAGCTTTGGGGTAGCTAGGTGGCACAGTGGATACAGTACAGAACATGGAGTCAGGAAGACTCATCTCCTGAGTTCAAATATGGCCTTAGATCCTAACTAGGTGTGTGACCCTAGCCAAGTCACTTAATCCTGTTTGTCTCAGTTTCCTCATCTGTAAAATGAGCTGGAGAAGGAAATGGCAAACCACTCCAGTACCTCTGCCAAGAAAATCCCAAATGGGGTCATGAAGAGTCAGACACAACTAAATGACAACATGATAAGAGCTTTACAATTATTATCTCATTTGATCCTTACAACAACCCTGCAAGGTAGGTACTGCTATTATCCCTGTTTTATAGTTGAGGAAAACTGAGACAGAGATTAAATCATTTGCCCAGGATCACACAGCTAGTAAGTGCCTGAGATCAGATTTGAACCCAGATCTTCCTGACTGTAGGCTTACCACTCTATCCAGTGTGCCACCTAGCTGAAGATAACATGGTTCTTCAAGACCTATGGGAAAGGGCCAGAACATTTACAGCTCCTTCCTAACCTTATAAATACCCAATTTACCAGCCAGTGGCTAGCACAGGCCCACCAGTGGCAGGAATAGGCTTTTCAGAAACAAATAAATGTTCCCAGAGCCAGGGTTCACTTCTTACCATACGCCACATAGTTAGTAGCTGATGAAAGAGGTACTGAGCTAGGGGAGCAAGGAATGATGTTTGTAAACTGCAATTATCTGGAGCTATAATGCAGCATCTCAAATAACGTTGTGAACAAGGCAAGCAATGACTTTATTACCTCCAGCCTTCTTTTTTTGTTCCCTTTTCTCCCACAGTGGCATCCGTAGACATGAAAGTACACCCATAACAAAAGCCAGTATAACACATTCATGAAAAAGTAGCTGAAGAATTCAGCACCAAATACTGGACGAAAAATGAAAGGACCTGAGAGGAAAGAAAAGAATCATTCTAGGGAAAGATGATAAAACTGGAAATGAAAATTAGCTCTGATGGTAGAAGTTGGTCTACTTGTGTTGGCATAATCTGGAGAAGAAAAGAAGGCAATATCTCTTTTTCTCAGGTCTGTTTTATTCAAATGGTGGAGTCTAACTAGGCAATAGCAACTAACATTTATATACAAACATGTTGCTGTTGTTGTTCAGTCATTCAGTCATGTCCTATTATTCACGACCCCATGAACCATAGCATGCCAGGCCCTTCTGTCCTCTACCACTTCTCAAAGTCTGTGCAGGTTCATGTTCATTGTTTCCATGATACTATCTATCCATCTCATCCTCTGCCGTCTCCTTTTCTTTCTGCTTTCAATCTTTCCCAACATCAAAGTCTTTTCCAATGAGTCTCATCTTCTCATTATGTGGCCAAAGTATTTAAGCTTCAGCTTCAGTATTTGACCTTCTAGTGAACAGCCTGAATTAATTTCTTTAAGTATTGGATGATTTGATCTCCTTGCTGTCCAAGGGATTCTCTAAAGTCTTCTCTACAACACAATTTGAAAGCAGCAATTCTTCAGCACTCAGCTTTTGGCTGCTGGAAAAACCATAGCTTTGACTATAGAGACCTTTGCTGGCAAGGTGATGTCTCTGCTTTTTAGTATGTTGTCCAGATTTGCCATCGCCTTCCTTCCAAGGAACAAGCATCTTTTAATTTTATGGCTGCAGTCGCCATCTGCAGTGATCTTTGAGCCTAAGAATATAAAAACTGATAACATTTCCATTTCTTCTCCCTCTATTTGCCAGTAAGTGATGGGACCAGTGGCCAAGATCTTGGTTTATTTTTTTATGTTAAGTTTCAAGCCAGCTTTTAGACTCTCCTCTTTCACCCTCATCAAGAGGCTTCTTAATTTCTCTTCACTTTATACCATACAGATATACCTCAGAGATATTTCAGGTTCGATTCCAGACTACTGCAATAAAGCAAATATCATAATAAAGTGAGTCACATGAATTTTTTGATTTCCCAGTACACATAAAAGTTATGTTTATACTATACTGTAATCTGTTAAGTGTGCAATAGTATTGTGTCTAAAAAACATGCTAATCATCATCTTAATCTTCAGCAAGCCATAATCTTTTTGCAGGTGGAGGAGGGTTTTGTCTCATTGTTAATGGCTGCTAACTGATACGGTAGTGGTTGCTGAAGGTTGGGATGGCTGTGGCAATTTCTTAAAAAAAAAAAAAGACAACAATGAAGTCTGCCCTATCAATTGACTCTTCCTTTCACTTGAACACTTAGAGGCAGGGTTATTAACTGGCTTAATTTCAATATTGTTGTGTCGCAGGGAATAGGGAAACCTGAGAAGGAGAGAGACAGGGAATGATTGGCTGGTGAAGCAGTCAGAACACACACAACATTTACTGATTAAGTTTGCTGTCTTGTATGGGCATGGATTGTGATACCTCAAAACAATTACATAGTAACATCAAAGATCACCAGTCACCACAATAGATATAATAGTAATGAAAAAGTTTGAAATTTTGAGAGAATTACCTAAATGTGATACAGAGACACAATGTGAGCACATGTTGTTGAAAAAAATGGTACCAACAGACTTGTTCAACAAACCTTCCATTTGTAAAAACAAACAAAAACAAAAATGCAATGTCTGCAAAGTGCAACAAAGCAAAGCACAATAAAACAAGGTATATCTGTGAAGTACTTCAAGGCTTTCAAAGTGCCCTATCTATTCAGTGAGGGAACTGACTGATGAGGGCCCAGACTTTAGAGTCTACATAAATGTTCTGCTGGTTGCCAATCTGCATGGAGTTTTGGTGTGCCTGCTTCTGGAAGTGAGGGATACAGGAGCCTCTTCCCTCCTCACTTCAGAGAATTCACAGTTATTCTGTTTCTTTTAAGTATGATGGTGAGAATTCTTTTAATTTGCTGCTGAGTAGAAATTAAATGTGAATGTAAAGGGCTCAAACAAATGAATTCTCTTCATCCCTTGTTGTGAGGCAGAAACTATTGTACGCTTGTACACGGTGGGAGAAGTAGCATGTGTGGAAATGGTAGTGGCCTCCACTAGCTGTATTTTCTCCCCCACCATAGGCCATGTGGCTGGGAATACACAGCATTATTGTTTCTTTTGTCTATATTTTTGTATGGATTTTAAGCGAATGAGTATCAGCAACAGAATGGACCAGGGTACAACAAAGATTCCTCCCAGCAATCAGCCAGTAACAGCAGCAGTCTAGTTTGGAGAGAAGCCAGACCTGAAGTGTAACCTGTTTGACCAGCCTAAGCAGTGAATCAACCTGACAGCTAAAGCATTGTGTCCTGAAAGCAAAGGATTGACTTGTCCACCAGTTATACTACATGAGGTAAATCTGGTGGCAAGGACATAGAAAGGGTGGGGAGGGTGTGCGGATGTCTTGTAACAACTACTTCAAGTTTGAATCCACTGTCCCTAGCTATTAAATGGTGTGTAGAAGGGAGAATGTGCTCATGGTTTGGGAAAGTTTTTATACTTTTCCCCTTGCTATATATTTTCAGTAAATATCTTTTTTTATAAAAGGTAAAGGTATTCATGAATCATTGATATTGGAGAGGTGTTAACTAGTCAAATGATACTAGAGAGGATATGCCAGATAGGGTGTTTATAAACATTATTAGAATCCACATTCCTTCAGAAATTACCTTGAGGGTGGGGGCAGCTAAGTGGTGCAGTGGATAGAGTACCCACCCTGAAGTCAGGAGGACCTGAGTTCAAATCCGCCCTCAGACCAAACACTTGACACTTACTAGCTGTGTGACCCTGGGCAAGTCACTTAACCCCAATTGCCTTTAAAAAAAAAAGAATTACCTTGAGGGTAATTAGTAATTGAAAGGTACATAGTAGCAGCAGAAGCAAACTACCAGTCTGAGCATGGGTTAGGCGAATAAGTTCAGAGTATATGCTACACACAGCTGCAGCCAGGTGCTATTTTCTCTCACCCATCCAGAGGCTCACAGCAATTCTTGTCTCACTCATTATCTGGGAAGAGTGAGTTTATCCATTTAAGCCTTCTGTATGCACACTAAGTAGTTCTAGCTCAGCAGACAATTAAAACACTTTTCAGGGGCAGCTAGGTGGCACAGTGGATAGAGCAACTGCCCTGGAGTCAGGAGGATCTTAGTTCAAATTTGGCCTCAGACACTTGACAGTTACTAGCTGTGTGACTCTAAGCAAGTCACTTAACCCCATTGCCTGGCAAAAACAAAACAAAAAAAACCTTTTTATGATCATACAGTAAGATGACAGGAAACTGTACTGAGATTATCAGCACATGCTCTTAAGTGAGGAGGGAAAGAGCCCTTCCAATCATATATTTACAGAAGCAGGCTCACCAAGCCTTCCACTTAGCATGTGCTAAGGACTGAGAGTTGATTGGTCAGCTCACCCAAAACACACAGTAAAATCTCATTTGATCCTAATCATAAGGCTACTTGCTCAGGGCCAAAGTCAATATCTGAGACAGGATTCAAACCCAAGACTTCTTGACTCAAAATACAGTGCTTGACCCACAACACCGCCGCACTGCCTTTGAGGCAGGTGTCTTTGTAGGGAGCACTGTGCTTTGAGTTCTTCTATACCTGCTTCCCCAGCTGTAAAAAACCAGGGTAATGCTTCAGAAAGTAGAAAGTGACTTTGGTCAGATCGGGTCTCAGAAAATCCAAGGTTTGGGCACAGTACCTGGGGGGCAGAATAAGTGCTGCAGACAAGATAGTGAAGAATTTGCAGAGTAGAGCTTACCATTCCAGCTTTCCATCTTCACTGCTTCAAGGCCTTTGTCTAAAATGAAAGCTTGATCAGTGTATGGATTCCATCCAATTTAGGGAAACCTGGAGGAAGTCTTCCCCTCACCCCCATTTGTTTCTAGTTGGTTATACTGTGTAATCTAAAATTTGAAAAGTGAAAGGAATGTGGAAAGAGCATAAGAGCACCAGGGACATTTGAGCAAAAGAATGGGTGAGATACTTTAGCCAAAGCATACCAGTAGATATTTAAGTTATTTTCACTGATGTCTCTCATATCATTATTCAATGGTCTAGTGCTCTCTCCCTCTCCCCCTCTCTCCCTTTTGTCCCCACCTACTAAAATAAAAAATTAATGGTATTTTACTGAGAATGGGTTTCAGAATCAGGCCTGGCTTATCCCAAGAATCTACTGAAGCTAGAGGCTCTAATATGTTACATTTGTAACAATATGGTTTCCAACCTTTATTCACTGCAAATATGCAGTATCTCAGGTATCTCATGGGTTAAACAGATTTAGGATTCGGCATTTTAATAGACTTGGTAGACTAATTAGGAAACTAATTACCATTTATAACATTATTTCTGAATTAAAAGGCAATCCAAAGTGAAATTCATTGATTCAATAAGCATTTAAGTGCCTTCTATATTCTAGGTACTGTGTTAGATCCTGGAGATGTTTATATATATATATATATATATATATATATATATATATATATATATATATATATATCCTTAAGATGCTCACATTCAACTGGGGAGAAAACAATGTAAATACAGATAAATAAATACAAAATATATAAGTAAATACAAAGTAATTTGGTGGTGGGGAAAGGAAGGGTAGGAACTAGCAACTGGGAGTTCAAGATAGATCTCATTCAGGAGTGGCACTGGAGCTGAGCTTCAAGATAGAATATTGTGTACTAGGAACTAGCAAGTAGGGTATTTTGGCTGGAACACAGTGCAAAGGAGAGTAATGTGTAATAAGCCTGGAAGGGTAGGCTGAAGACAGATTGTGGATGACTTTAAATGCCAAACAGAAAAGTCTGTATTTTATACTAGAAGCAACTAAGAGCCACTTGGAGCTTTGTCAACAAGGGAGTGACATGATCATACCTGTGCTTTAGGAATTTCAATTTGGTAGCTGTGAGGAAGATGGATCAGAAAGCAGTGAATCTTGAGGCAGAGAGACCAACTGGATGGCAACGGTCAATATCAATATCAAATGAGGTAACACGTGTGAAGCACTCTGCAAACATGCAAACATTATAGAAATGATAGCAATTATTATTATTTTCCAAATGAGAGATGATATGAGTTTGATTTCAGGTAGTTATGTTGCAAATGAAGAATGGGATGGATATAAGAGACATTGTGGAGGTAGAATCAATAAGATGGCAACTCAATTCAAAACACATTTATTAAGCATAAACTAAATTCCAGATACTGTAGAAGGTGAAAGGTCTACAAAGATAGACACAGCATAAACCATGCTCTCAAACAGCTTACAATCTAATGAGGGGGAAGATGAGACCAAATACAAAAATAACTAGGATAAAAAGGAGAGTTACTTTAAGCATACATTATACACTAAGTATAAAGGAAAGAGACCTAAGCAAAGCGCTATGAAAAATCTCAGGAGGAAGTGATCACTTTTAAGGGTGGGGGGGGGAGTGTCTACAAAGGCTTCATACAGTAGTTGGCATCTTGAGGGAAGAGAAGGATTTCACTGACTTTTTGGAAAAAATGAAAATGTGTAAATTTGGGACAGTCTCTAGAGGGGCCAAGTCAATTATGACTCATCTATTCTATCTTTCCTCTTTAAGGTTAGGGACTATCAATGAACTACTCTGTAAATTCTACTGCACCTGTACTGTGCTAGGCATCACATGAGCACTAATTTCATGTTAACTGATGATGATGAAAATGATGATAACCATATTAATCCAGGAAGATACTTCTCAGAGGATAATAATGTGCTACTTATATCATGAAGGGTACATTTTTAAAAATAGACATACATATGCAATAGTTTATTATTTCTTATATAATAACTATAGTTGAGAGATCTAGAGTCTATTTTAAAATAGAAAAATTACCAAAGCAAAAATAAGCATCTTAAACAGAGAACACAAATCTTGTAAGCGTTGCAGTTCTTAGCATGGCACCTTGGAGCCAGGATGAGTCATCGTACTTGATGATCTTAAACAAGTTTACATATAATTAGAGAGACATGGAAGTTATGGGGTTGTTAGTTATTACTGTTGTTGTTTTACCAAAAAAAAAAAACTAGCACCAGACACAGCTAATAAACATTTAAGGCTTTGTATGTGTATTATGTAAGAATTACAACAACCTTGAGCAGAAATAAAATTTCTGGTCAAAGTTTAAGATTATGACTCTTACTTCCTTTTCTGAGTCACTTTTTGCAAATTGCATGCCAAAAATAAAACACATTTACAACCAGGAATGGAATCAAGATAATTTCCACTTGTAGTTATATATAATATAAAAACACTAAATATATACTTATATATGGTTATATTTCCCTTCATATATATATGTGTGTGTGTGTGTGTGTGTGTATGTGTGTGTGTGTGTGTGTGTGTGTGTGTGTGTATATATATGTTTTAAGCACATACCATCTATATATGTATGCATATATATTTGGAAAATTATAGAACAAGCATTCACAAATATGTTCATAATATTGTATATCTTTACTTCAAGTCATTAATAATATTCCTGCTAACTGATTTTAGTTTCAATTACTTAGCTATCAAGAACAACATTAAGAGAGGCAATTATCTTCAGTGCTTATGGAAGAGGGAGAGTTGAGGATGACACTAAAGTTGCAAACTTGGGTGATTGAAAGACAGTGGTTCCCTCAAGGATATAAGGAAGTTTGAAGGAAGGGCAGATGTAGTGGAAAAGAGAAGGATTTCCATTTTAGACATGCTGAATCTGAGGTGCCTAAAGTTGCTGACAAGCAAGTGGGAAAATTTTAAGGCAGATGTTCTCTATTCTTCTCTTTCTTGCCCTGGGAAGAAGTATGGTATTGGTGGAGAGAACATCACACTAGGAATCTGAAAACCTGAGTTCCAGACTCCAGAGTTCCAGCTCTGCCATTAAATGAACCGACTCTCAGCAAATCATTTGGGTTTTTTGGCCATAGGCTTCCTAATTGGAAAAATGGACAGGGTGGAATACGTTACCTTTAATGTCTCTTCCAATTCTAAAGTTGTATTGTTTTAAGTATGGAATCTTCTCTTTCTAACCTTTGGTTCAGTCCCAGTCTCCATTACCCATCTTCTGCTTAATACTGAGACATCTTACCTAAATCTTCACTTTTGGTTACATAGATTCTTTGGCCGAAAGCCCCTCATCCCACATTGCCTAGAGACATTCTAAGTACCTTTCCCTTTATTCACCAGTCAACTACCTGGATTCCTCATCCTTTGTTCATAGAACTAAGATCCGGAAGGCACTATTGAGATAATCTAGGAAACCAAGGTTGAGGAGATTAAGGAGTTTGCCTAAAGTCACTGAGTTAGTCATCAACAAAGCTAGCATTCAAACTACTTTTAAGTCCAATTACATTGGACTTTCCACTACTCCATGTTTCCTGTGCTCAAAGATGTAATTCCTTACCTGTCTGAAAAATACCTGCCTATTTCTCCCTGCCAAAGCTGACTTCTCTGACCTCTGATTGACAAACATATTTCACATGGAATCCTTACAGATAAGATGGAGATATGTGGACTGAATGATAGTACAATTAGGTGGATTCAAAACTACAAAAAGTAAGGGATCTATATTCACCGGGAAGGACTCTTCAGCAGAGTCTCATAGAACCTAATCCTTTATCTCATCCTGATCAACATTTTCATAAATGACTTTGATGAAGCCTCAAATAGCATATTTATCAAAATTTTTGATGACACAAAGTTGGGAGGAATCACTAACATATTGAATGACAGCATAAGGATCCAGAAAGAACTCAACAAGCTAAATTTGATGGGCTGAATCCAATAAGGCTTGAATCCATATATACATAAGTATTGGCTAAGGGAACTGGTGATGTTTAGCCTAGAGATGGAAAAATGGAAGGGGGCATTTAAGCAGTTTTAAATAGATGAAGGGCTGTTGTCCAGAAGAGATCTCTTTTGCTTTGTCTAAGAAGACAAAAGTAGGAACAATGGGTGAAAGATGAAGAAGAGAGGAAGATTTAGATTTGATAAAAGGAACAGCTTTTCATTAAATTCAATTCAATTCAAATTTGTTATATAGATACTATGTGTAACAGCACATAGCTTAGTGAATAAAGAGCTTATTTTGGAGTCAAAAAGTCCTACCTCTGACACATAATAGCTGTTGGACCCTGGGTAAGTCATTTAACTCTCAGTAAATTTGCCCCATTCCCACACCCCATGCAACCCTAAGACTATAAAACTGCAAGGCAAATGTCAATTTGGTAGGTTTCCTTCTTCCCTTTATCAGGGAAATCACGTTAAATCCTTAGCAATTAGGACAGTACCTGGAACATAGTAGGCACTTAAATATTTATCAACTATTGACTGAAATCCAAACATATTAGATGCTGGGTATACAAAGACCAAAACCACTAACAGCCTGTGCCCTCAGGAAGCCTACATTCTACCAGAGGATATAGTATGTACATGACACAAGGTAAAAGGAGGGAAAGAGCACTGGCAACTAAGAATAGGAAAAGTTTCCTGTAGGAAGTTGAAAACTGCTAAGGATTCCAAGGGGAAAAGATGAGGAGGGAGCACATTCCAAGCAAAGACAACAACTCTGCAAAGGCATAAAGGAAGGAAATGGAATACCAAGTTCATGGAATAGCAAATTAGCCATTTTGGCTAGAAAATATAGTGTATGAAGGGTAATAGTATAAAATAAGTCAAGAAAATAGGCCAAATCCAGATTACACAGGATTTTAATAATAATCTAAAGAATTCATATTCTATTCTAGGGCCAACAGGGAGCCATTGAAGATTCCTGAGCACAGTAATAATATGATCAGACCCATACTTTAGGAAGATTATTTTGGCAGCTGAGTAGAGGATGGACTGGAGATGGAGGAGAACAGGAGCAGCGAGCCCACTTAAGAAGCTATTGAAGAAGTACAGCTGAGAGATGATGGTGACTGGAAGCAGACTGATTGCCAAGTGAGTGGAGAAAAGATATGAGAGATAGAGACAAAATCAAAACTTGGCAACTAACTGGAGATAGGGAGTGAGGGAATACAAAAACTAAGATACTGCAAACCTGGTTTATTTAGGACAGTAGTGCCCTCAACAGATACAGGGAAGTTTGCAAAAGCAATGGCTTTAGGTACAAGTATAATAAGTTCTGTTTGGGACATGTTGGGTTTGAACTCCTGCTGGAAGTCTGCTGATCCTCCTGAGTGTTAGTGGCCCCATCTCTCATGAAATTACTTTGCATTTATTTCTCTGTACATGTACTATCTCCCCACTCCCACCCCAGTAGAATGTAAGCTCTTTGAGCAAACAAGGATTGTTTCATTTTTGCCTAGAACATAGGAGATGATTAATAAATGTATACCAAATTGAACGTCTTATAAATTAAAATAAATACTCCTCAAAAACTGGAATTTAAAAGCTTCCACAATCTGGTTCTAAATTCATTTTTCAGCCTTATTTCACATTATTCTTCTTCATGTATTCTTCATTCCAGTCAAACTGGGCTCTTAAGCATTCCTGGTCTTATTTTTCCCTCTCCTGATTCCAATTATTTGTGCAAGTTATTAGGATACATTTGGAATGCCCTCCATCCTCTTCACCTGTTGAAGTACTTCTTATTCTAGAGGATGAGCTCAAATGTCACCTCTTCAACACTGCTCCGCCTGATGTCCCCCCACACACACTTCTCCACCCCTATCTGTGTATGAAAATGACCTATTTCTTCTCAAATTTTCCTAGGTACTTTTTCTGGATCTCTTCTTGTGCCCCACTAAGTTCTAATACATCTGATGTCTTGTCCCCACTTCTATCATTACATCATAAGCTTCCTGAGAGCAAGGTTTGTGTCTTTATTTTTTCATCTTAAATGCCTTGCATAGTACTTAATAAATATTAATTGAAATGATTGTTTTTCTCCAGAACTACAGAATGCTTCTGTTGTCCCTGTGGCTTTATCAAAACTATAGGAATGGGGGCAGCTAGGTGGAGCAGTGGATTGAGCACTGGCCCTGGATTCAGGAGGACC